GGGACAAAAGCCTGGACAAAATATTTTGCTGTCTGGACAGAATGACATTGCTGTTAAATTGCATGAAACAAGAATTAAGAGGGAGCCAAATTAATTGAACTCCTCACCCCTTCTGTGTACATCTCAACCCAAAGAAATGATGAGCAGTTGGCTGCTTGCTACTTTAGGACACGGTCCAGCCCTGGCACAGCTACATGCTGTTCACTTTGCAATCTCCTCACACCTAAGTTCAAATTTTCCAGTCTCTTTGTCTGTCTGTGGTTTGAGGGACATGGAGAATCAGGAACTCTGGAAACACTGTAAAGCTATTGTTTGTAAAGAAGCTGTCAGAGCCTTTGAAACTTGAACAGGAGGATTGCAGTACATAATACCCAAGTAAAGGTTAATCAAAATTGGCTCTTGCAGTTATCTGTGTCAAGGCCCCAGGGTGCAATATGTGCAGTCAGTGAGTTTGCATGGATGATATCATAGTTCTAATGAGGGATATTTATTTTTGCCTAATTTCAAAGCCACAGGAACATCCTGGGTTCTAAATCTAGGGTTCTTGTTCCAGGAGAGCCAGAGTTGCCAGCGCTCATGATTTTATCACAAATTTCACAGTGTTTTGATTAAAACTCCCACTTTGTACTCAGAAGAATCTCAGCTTTTATTTTAAAATACATTGTAAAAAATTAAACTTTTATCCTTCAGATTAGAACGATACATAAAAGGAAATCCAAATTAATGACTTCAAACAACCTCTGGATTTTTCATAAATCATAGAGAAGTAGGGCTAGAAGGGACCTCCAGAGGTCATCTAGTCCAACCCCGCCTTAGGCAGGGTCAGTCATACCCAAACCAGCCTATACAAATCCATGGTCTAACCTATTGGCAATCTTTATTTCAGCAAGTCTCATTATTTTTTTCAAGCCCATCTCATGATATTTGAATGTTTGGACTTGGTAATGATGCTACCGAGTTCCTGCTGTCACCACCAAAAGTATCTCTGGCTGATTTAGAAACAAAGTTTCCCTCCCCTCCATGATTTTGGCCCTATCTCAGAATTATCCAGATTTCAGTGGTCTTTAGATCTATCCAGAGCTTACTGGTGTGTTTTGTTATGGGTTTGACTCTCTAGAAAAATTAGGAATCCTGACTCTGTGACTATGTTCTTTCCTCTGGAGAGATAAATGTGCAGGACTTGATTCCTATTTCACACCAGCTGAGCATCACATTAGCTCCATTAAAGTCAGTGGTATCGCAGCTGCATTGCATCAGTATAAGTAAGATCAAAATCAGGCAGACATGCATGTTTTTAGAAGCTTTGTTAGCAACAGAAAGAACTAAGTTAAACAATGGCAAATTGCAATGATAGAGAGGAAGTAGAATGTTTAAAACTATGCTTGCTTGACTGCAGCATAATGCTACTTTGAGATTTTATATTTTTACAATTTGAATTACTTTCACCAAAAGTCTGTAGTTACTTTCCCTCCTTATAGCTTTTTGTTTGGATTGGGTTCCCTCCAGTAAAGGCAAATACGAAGTAACAATAGATTATTAAATACCTACAGCATAAGGATTCTCTGATGGACCAGGTTCTTAACGCTAGGTGATAACAGGTTAGTACTTTGGTGACCTGAAATTTTGAAAACATGACACCAAATTCTCACTGATCATTCCCATTATACTGTCATACGTAGCTCTGCAGAGTGGATACTAAGCAGTGATAGGATCGATAGGGTGTCATTTATATACTATTTGCAAATATATTACACAAGCAAGTCATTCAAGCCACAAAGTACAAGCTGATTAAAAAAAAATGCAGCGTGTTCATTACTGTATGTATGTAATAATTTATAATATATTTTTTCACCCTTGTATTTGCATATAAAACAAGAAAATTTACATATGCAAAACATGCCCTGCCCAATCCAAATGGGTGTGAATTCTACCATTTGGTGCATGCACTTTTCAAGTTTACATGAGTCTTAATGCATACATTTACTCATACAAAAATGGGAGGTTGCAATACAGCTTTCTTTTAAAACTGTGGGTCTTTCTGTCCAGGCAATAAAATGCCTTCAGTGGAAATGACAGTGTATCTGAGACTGAGCTAATAAGATTAAATCAATCCCTCTCAATCTGTTGCCAAACTAGCAAGGCAGTTGTTTTGTAGTAAAATAAATACTGTGTTTTATAGCTAAGTCTTCTTTCCATTGCAGACACAGTCATGTCTGAGATTTAATTAACTTCATGTGGCACTGTAGAAATAGATGGCAAATCAATAATGAATGCCATTACAGTCACTTTGTGCTGCTGTAATTCTCTGTGTTTCATTGCACTAATTAGGTCTGATTTCTGTGAGAGCCACTTCAATAGCAAGGAGGTGAATTATTGTTGAGCTCATAACTGTCACTAGGGATATGAGGTAATCTCAGTAGAGACTCTAATCTCAGGTGCCAGTGGTTTAAGGGAAAGGGAGGGGGAGGAGGAGAATGTCACATATTTTATTGGTGTGATTATATTGTGTTTCACAGGTGCAGTGATTGAAAGTATTAAGCTTCTGCTGATGTAGCTACAGAAAACCACAACTAGCTTGCTCTTGGGCTTGATATTTAACCATTTCATCTCTCTTTTCTACCAGTGAGTAATGGGAGTGAGCAAGAGCTTTTATTTTGGTGGTGAACATCCTTGGGTCCTTGCTATCAGTCAGGAAAGAAATGTTTTCTGAAAGCAACACTTGAAGGACTGCTAGGATCTCTTGGGTTAATTCATTCAATTAGCCTAAGAGAAGCAGCTACTTAAATAGAAGGGTTCAAAACTGAGGTGCTGAGAATTTTATAGTATAGTATAGCAAGCTAGAGCGCTGTTAACTGGAGATATGAGGTAAGGCAGTAACACTGATGGGATTTACTACTGGGAAACCCAGAAGAAGTACCTGTGTACTTATAATGACTGTTCAGATAGCTGCCTTATTCTGTTTATATTTTTGTAAAGGGTGGAGTAGAGGCTACCCTGCATCATTTGTATGAAGTGTCTGCCCACTTATAAGGCTTCCTAATAAGTGGGGACAATGTATGGTGGAAACTGGGCAGAACAGAACCCCAAGGGTTGCAAAATGCAACCACAAATTTTGAGAAAAATATGTGATCTCTTTCCTATGTGTTCATTTGAACAATCGCACCCAATCATCAGTATTTCTAGTGTAAATAGTTGCTAGTATAAACTACTGTTCCTGGTTACCACAGACCGTCTCCGCTTGACATGGAAAATGTCTTTCCTATGACAAACTGGCCAAGAGAATAATCTCCATCTTTGCTGCATTTGAAATAATGTAGCATGAATGGTGAAAGGGAGGTACTGTAGATTAGAGATGAGTATCTGCACCTCCTTTTACATCTACTTATCTCTGTTAGAGATAAGTAACTTTTCTTAGCATGCTTTCTTAGCATGCTTAGCATGCTTCCCCCCTCCCCACAACTGCTTGTCCTCTTTAGACTGCAGAGCTTGTCAACCTGCAAACTCTAATGCCCATAACAGTAGCTGCTATGCCTCACTTAGTGCCCTTGACAGATCTGCATTAATCCTTTGGAGAGAGCACTGACACGGTACAATAGGCAGCCTGAACTACAGGAAAGTAACACTGTATGACTTTGAGCATATGATGCCTTTCATCTGCTGCTCAGTATTCTGATAATGACTAAATGACATGATAGCTCTTGATCTTCAGTACTTTTTTCTTTTAAAAACTAGAACTCCAAGTATCAAAGCCAATAAAACAATGTTGCCAATGGTCCATACATTTATGGACACTCCATTTAAAAAAAACAAAACAAAACTAGAAACGCTAATCCATAAAATCCATTTTAAAAAAATACCACAAAAAAACCCTAAGCAACCAAAGCTTGATTGAAGCTCCATCATCAGAAAGAAGCTCAAGGCACTGTTGAAGGAGAGATGCAGCAGGACAGTGCCATCTGGTATCTAACTGGGATTGCAAAACCCTGCATGGTGCTCTTGTCAGGGCTTTGTGGCTCACGGAAGTGTCTCTAGTTTCCTTCCTTCCTACCTCCCACCCCAGCCAGGTGTGACTGCTGTATCCCTGCTGGTAACACTGCTCACCTTGCAGATAGGCAGGCAGTAGTCCTTAGGGGTTTGTGCTGGGGCAGGGGAACAGGGCTGGCAGTGGTAACAGGTGCAGTCAAAGAGTGTCAGGTGTTGAAGTAAGGTACTTTTTGGTGTTGGGCAGTATGGTGTAAAATGATTGTTGCAATCAGGCCGGGGTTGCCAACCCAAGAATTTTTTTGATTGTCATGTTGCTACAGTTGGTGTCAAAACCCTAAATTTGAATCCAGCCTTAGTCTAGGGTCTGAAGAAGGGTTACAGTTACATTATGTAAAATGTGTGTCAGTAAAATAAATGTAAAAAGCTTGCAGGTTGTCAGTAAACAAACAAAAAAAATTCTTGATTTGGCAATGCCACAATAAACATTTTCTTTGCACCATATTGTAAATTAAGACATTAAAATATTCCTAATTTATGTTACTGAATTCAGCTGTCTTGTAACACCATTTAAAGGCTATTGTTGAAATGGCTTTATGGGCTGCTTGTGGCCTGTTCATAGGTGACTTGCACTTCAATTTTATAGGAGCATATATTCTCCTTTATATTCTAGATGTACGTGCATTACTGCTTGTAATGTCTTTGTTTTTGTATCTGAAATAAGACAGCAATAGAGGTTTCCAGTCAAGTCAACTAGAGTAACTGGTTTTCTATTAACAGGCTTCAAGCTTAATTCATAAATTGCTATTTTGATTCTGGAGCTAATTTGGTAGTTTACTGCAGAAGAATCATTATATGCCAGTCCTATCCATGGAATAACCCATTCAAAATATTCTAAGAGCATCAGAGGATTACATGGATAAACAAAGTCAGCAATGCACCAAACCCCACCCCCCCACCAAAAAAACCCCCACCATGCTGTCAAAGTTATTACAACTGTTTTGTTCCTTGTATTGCAGCTGCAGAAACTGAAGCGATCACTTTCTTTCAAGACCAAAAGTTTACGGAGCAAGAGTGCAGACAACTTCTTTCAGAGGACTAACAGTGATGTGAAGTTGCAAGTGGATTTGCCGCCTGAGGTGAGCACCAGCACTGGCCAGCTCCCCAGCTCAGAGAACCAGACCTCCACCCCTACCAAAGTCCAACAGCAGGCAGAAAACAACAAGGCTCACGTTTTTCAGGAACACATCTTCAAAAAACCCACATTTTGTGATGTATGCAACCACATGATTGTTGGTAAGTGCTATTTGAGTTGTGTGTGTGTTCATTAGAACATGCTGCATACCCTTTCAGGGCCTGTGACTGCAAAACGGTTCTTGAGGATCCTCAAGGACTGGCCCATATCAGCCAGTCTGTTCAAATGGTAACAGTTTTCTAGTTCTCATGCAACTTTAGGGTGTGTGCATGAAAAAGGTAACAGTTTAGCCCACAGGACACAAGTAGGTGTCACAGGTTGACATAAGGGTATTACCAATCAGAAGCTAGGTTTTTAGCCATGGCACCAAATGCTGCTATTGGTCATATAAAGTCCTGTTGATTGTACTGCTAGTAAAATTAACTGCTCCATGCTTTTTCACTGCTCTTCAATGTGCTTATTACTACTCTGGTTGCAACCTAATCCTGACTTCAGAGTGAAATTTAGCTGTGACCTGACTGTTTTCCAAAGGTTGCCTATACAACACCAATTCTATAACTGGGGTGCATAAGAAGAGGTAAAGAAATGAGATGCAAGTAGAGCTGTTTCCCAGATGCTGCACCTTCTGCATGTCATAGAGGAAATCCCCATGACAGCTGCAAACAGGCCTGTGGAAAGATGTTGTTTGAGGGTGTTGGCCTGCTCATTCATAGGTTAAATGGCTGGTTTTCTATACAGAGGGCTTGATTTACAATTATATAAATCAGGAGTAATACCACTGAAATGAATGGGGTTATACTAGTGCAAGAGTAAGTGGGGAGAAAACTTGGTTCTACATGAGAAGAATAGTCTCATGTAGAAAAAGCAATAAAAGTCTTTGTCTCAGCAGTCAGGTGAAAACCTGCAGCAGTACAGGTCCTTCAAGATGGTAACAGGCTTCAGAATGCCCAGTGTGATGTGCAAAAATGTTATGTCTGCATGGAGTTTGCACATTGAACAGTCAGAAAAAAAATTGAATGCATACTGACCAGGGGCAAAGTCGCAGCTCTGGGGAATGCAACGATGCAGGTGGGGCTCTGCACTACATGAGGACTTAGCCACAGGGTATAGTGAAGTTCCTGGGTTCTCTTCTCTTGAAAAATGTTTATGCTGCTTTCAGTATGTTTGCAGCATTCATGGACATCCTGCTTTTGTTATTTTTTGCAGTTCCTTTGGGGCTTCTGCTTCTGTTGGACTTTTATATTTAGAATAGTTTCATTTACACAATTTAAAAGGTTTAATTTTAAAATATAAATTTCAGTGCATAATGGATTAATGTTCTAGATAAAATTAAAATAGATTAGAACAAGGGTTGGCAACATTTTCCAGGAGTGGGGCTGGAATGAGCCAGCTCAGGTTAGAGGATGACAGGCATTAGGATTCAGCTGCCATCACTGTTTCTCCAAGCTGGTTAGCTGCAGCACGGTGCAGCAAAAGCCCCCTTTCACCAGAGCCTCCATTGCCTGATTGTGGCACAGTCCAGGCAGAGCTCCCCTTCCACCAAAATCCCAGGCAACTGATTGCAGTATGGTGCAGTGTTACATGGCCCAAGGGGAGTCCTGCACTGCTGAATGATGCAAAGCCAGATCCAAAGGTTCTGCAGGCTGGATCTGTCCTGTGGGCTGTATAATATCAGGCCCTCAGCTGTATTTACTGTATACAGCTGTACTGTATTTACTTCCCCCCCCAACCAGGTGGAAGAGCTGGACCGGGACTTCTCTGGTCAGCTTATGGAGGTAGTTAGGTCAAGGGATGTCATTGTCATGGGTGACCTAAACTACCCAGACATTTGCTGGGAAGAGCAGACAGCCAGGTCTGACCTCTTGCATAGGTTCCTGGCTGTATTACAAGACCTCCACCTTATCCAGGAGGTGCACAGCCCCACTAGGGGTAACGCCTTGCTGGACCTGATCCTGGACACTGGGGATGACCTGGTGAGGGGGCTGCAGGTCCTTGACCACTTGGACAATAGCGATCATCACCTGCTGGAATTCACTATCCAGTGCAGGGTATCAAGGGCTTATAGCAAGACTAAAGCCGTTGACTTCAGAAGGGCCAATTTCAATGAGCTTCAGAGATTAGTGGGGGATGCACTGAGGGCCCAGAAGGTAGAGAGGATGGGAGTCCATGAGGGATGGTCGTACCTTAAGGGGGAGATCCTCCAGGCCCAAAGGGTAACAGTCCCTGAGAGAAGCAAGGGAGGTAAGAGTGCTCAGAAACCCCCATGGCTCAGCAAAGACATTGGGTGGCGTACAACCAGTGGAAGAGAGGGGCTATCACCAAGGAGGTGTACTCCTCCTCGGCCCATGAGTATAGGAGGGCTATTAGGAAGGCCAAGGGAGAGATGGAGCTCAGGCTAGCGTCCAGGATAAAGGACAACAAAAAGTCCTTTTTCAAGTATATTGGGACCAAGACAAGGGCACCAGGCAATGTAGGGCCCCTGCCAGACTCAAATGGTAACCTTGTGGCTATGCCAGATGAGAGAGCTGATATTTTTAACAGTTTCTTTGCCTCTGTTTTCTTGAACAGGGACCAGGACATCCCTCCTGCCAGAGGTAAGGGCAATCTCGGAGATAGCTCTGACAGGCCTTGGGCCAGCACAGAGGTAGTTAGGGATCTTCTGGAAGGGCTGGACATTTTTAAATCTGCAGGTCCAGATGCCCTCCACCCAAGGGTGTTGAGGAAGCTGGCAGGGGTCATCACAGAGCCCTTGGCCCGGCTATATGACCATTCGTGGTCATCTGGCCAGGTGCCAGGGGATTGGAAACTGGCTAATGTGGTCCCAATTTTTAAGAAAGGGAGGAAGGAGGGCCCAAGTAACTATAGGCCCATAAGCCTCACCTCAGTCTTAGGGAAGATCTTGGAGAAAATCAGCAGGGGAGATCATGCTCAGGGGCAACCAGCATGGGTTCATCAAAGGCAGGTCCTGCCTGACCAACCTGATTGCCTTTTATGACCAGGTAACTAAATCCTTGGATGATGGTGTCACCATGGACATAGTATTTCTAGACTTTAAGAAGGCCTTTGACACTGTCTCTCACTCCATTCTCATCAATAAATTAAGTGACTGTGGCACTGATGCCTACACAGTTGGATGAGTAAACAACTGGCTGATGGGGTGCACCCAGAGAGTAGTGGCGGACGGGTCATACTCAACCTGGCAAGATGTGAGCAGTGGGGTCCCCCAGGGCTCAGTCCTCAGGCCCGTACTGTTTAACATCTTCATCAGCAACTTGGACGAGGTGGTTGAAAGCACATTGTCCAAGTTTGCTGATGACACTAAGATGTGGGGCAAGGTGGGCACACTTGAAGGGAGAGAGAGGCTGCAACTAGATTTAGACAGACTACAAAAGTAGGCAGATGAGAATAGGATGGGGTTCAATGGAGACAAATGCAGGGTGCTGCACCTTGGGAGAAGGAATCCACAGCATACATGCAGACTGGGGAGTTCCCCTCTTGAAAGCACAGAGACGGAAAGGGATCTTGGAATCATCATTGACTCCAAGATGAACATGAGCCGCCAATACCAGAACGCAGCCAGCAAGGCCAGCCATACCTTGTCATGCATCTGAAGATGCATCTCAAGCCGGTCCAGGGAGGTGATCCTCCCCCTCTATGCAACATTGGTCAGGCCGCAGTCAGAGTACTGCGTCCAGTACTGGGCACCGCACTTTAAAAAGGATGTGGCCAGCCTGGAGAGAGTTCAAAGGAGGGCCACCCATTTGGTGAGAGGGCAGCAGGACAGGCCCTACGAGGAGAGACTGAGGGACCTGAACCTGTTCAGCCTCGGAAACTGGAGGCTGAGGGGGAACCTGGTGGCTGTCTCCAAACTCATCAGGGGAGATCATTAGCAAATAGGAAGAGCCCTTTTCTCCCCAGCACCACCTGGGGTGATGAGGAACAATGGTAATAAGCTGATGGAGAATAGGTTTAGGTTAGAGATTAGGAGGCAATATTTTACAGTTAGGGTGGCCAAAATCTGGAACCAACTTCCTAGGGAAGTGGTCCTCGCCCCTAACTTGGGCAAATTCAAAAAGAAGTTAGATGATCACCTGTCTGGGGTCTTGTGAACCCAGCATTCCTTCCTGCCTGTGGCAGGGGGTCAAGCTAGATGATCTGTTCAGGTCCCTCCTGACCCTAGCTACTATGAAACTACAATTAACTTTATAGGTCAGAGCTGAAGGCAATTAAAAATGCAGAGCATCAAACAAATATTTTCAGGGTTTTGCAGGAAAGAAGTAAGATTTACAGGTTTATCTTCCCTCTCTTTAAAGAGTTTTCATTTCAGATTTGGAAGTAGAGGTAAAAGGGGATAGGGAACACCAAGGATCAAGGGTCAAAAAAAGGTTGGTAGATAAACCTCTGAATGGCTAAAATAACAACTTGTTCTCAAGCAAGCCTGAACCCTTCATCTGTCTCTCATGTGGCTTTGATGTCAAATAACAGTTTCAAAGATTTATGCTCCAAATTAAGTAAGCTCGGAACAAAGTTTGCTCCCAACTTTACATTTCTAGCTGTTGCTCACTAATACAGTGAGTGATTAGCGGGGCTGCAGACACATTTAATTGAACTATGCAAGAGCAGAATACTGCTGCAGGGCTGATACCTGGCAGGAACCACATTACACACATCATTTATTTCTTACATATCTTATCTCCTTTGCTTCTGTTTGGATTTCTGTGCAACAACTCCAACATAACTGTCCTGGAGCATAACCATGCCTTTCAACCATCTGCTTGGGTCTTGCTGTATCCTGAGCTGGCTTTTCCCCCGTAGGGCCTCCTTTCCCACGTATTAGCTCTTTTGCTATTGTTACAAAGAAAAATCTTTTTCCCTTCTAAGCAGAAGCTAATACGACCTGCTTATAAGGCTGCCAGCTGAGTCAGGTGAATAACTTTGGCCTCTGCCACACAGCTGTTGGGGTCTTTCCCCTTGGAGTTGTAAAGGAAAGAATGTTTCCCACTTTACTGCTCAGGTACTCTGATTATCAAATGCAAAAACCTACTCTATTACACTAATCCCTTTCCTTGCTTCTTTCAAGAATCGTATCTAATTTCATAGC